AGAGACCTCGATGCCTCATCAAATGTGTGCTATCGCATCATGAGCACAATAAGAGACCACAGTTTCAATGCTTTAACGATCATCACTGGCCAGCTCGGCTGACTGTGGATGATACAGTCTATCTACACGACAGCTTCGCTGGGTGTAGAGAATGTTTGAGTACTTGCTCCGCAACACGGCAATTTTGGCTCAAGAACGAGTCTTGATGCTAAGATAGCACAAGCCTCAACCGTACTTTCCTTGACGCAATAGTGTGTGAGTCTTCCCCTTGCATAGACAACCCCGACCTGCAGCGACATGCAAAAAGGGAACCAGTGTTTGCCTGCACGGGGAAGAGAGGCTGAGTGGATAATTCCATACAGCGAGTTCATTGAGGCAAACCACATCATTATCGTATCGCTCGGTGAGGTGAACAACATCGAACATATCGATTACAATGATTAAAAACCCTCACGCAGGTCATCAGCTGTAGGCTTGCCTACCAAGAACGAGTTTTGGAACGCCTACAATCACAATGACGTCTGGATCAAGTGCGGATACGACAATGGCCTTTGGAAGTGGCGAAGTTGCTATGCCGGCAGCAGGTGAGTCTACTGCTGATGATCCAGTGGCAGTTTCAATTGATTCGACAACCACTGCAGAGGACAAGGCTAAGTCGTCTACATCATTGCCGAAGCAAGCTACAAGGAGAGCGAGCTCAGCACCAAAGACGTCAACGTCAGTACGTCAGTCGCTTGCGAGTTCAAGAGCAAAGGGCAACGAAAAGCGTCCATCGAGATCAGTGATGCAATGTTTGCAATTAAACCGAAGGTTCGTGAACCGAGAAGTCCGGAGCAAAGACGGACAAGTTGTCGAGGAGTTCTTCGCGGAGGTCACCCAACGGGCCATAAGGACCCCTCACCATCACCTGTGGCGAGGTTGCTGTCGTCGCATGCTGCGGGTCTGCCCAGTCCTTTATCAAGCCCTGATGCACAACTGGATGAAGAAATTCGTCGTCATAGTGATGACCGAGTGAGACTTCCAATTCTCAGCATCCCCGAAAGCAATCAACCAGGAGGTGATCAGCTTATCCAACAACTGGTTGTCGCAGAGTCGCAGAGGCTGAAATGCAACGATTTCATGAAGAAGACAGTCGTCGTCATGAAGGACTTGTTCAGACGCTTATGCAAAAGCTCGAGGAGATGACTCAAGAAGATCAAGGCCCTACTCGAAGGATCGAGGAGTTGGAACGACAACGGAACATGCTGCAAATGGCCATACCCAGGTGAATCAGGTTCATCAGAGTTCAAAATCGGAATATGAGCACGCTTTGATGAGATTGGAGGAAGCGAGTCAAGCTCAACATGTTCGAGATTGCGAAATTGTTGAAGCCCTGACTGCCCAACTAGGACAACTACGTGGCGAAGCTGCAAGCAGCAGTTATCTACCATTGGAGCCGAAAGCGCAAGGTGATGGTCTCAACATGGCGCGAGAGTACGAGAAGCTTGCGAACGAGCTGAGTGAAAAGGTCCGAGAGAACCTACAACTCAGTCAGGATGGAACAATCATGAACTGAGTCGGCTGTACACTTGGTTTTGACAAATCAGTTGCACTTTTTTCGAGACGAGGAACATGCTGCGCAGAATGTGGCCAGGACGGTGGTTGCTAACGCCGAATCTGGCATGCAAGCTGCACGAAGCGAAGCAGATCGTGCTCTACGCGAAGCCGATGCAGTGCCGAGGCAGCGCGTTGGCACCTTGTCGAACAGTTGAACAAAGAGGAAAAGGCTCGAATGAACGCAGTCCAGAAGTTGGAAGAGACAGAGGCAAGTCTACGACAAGCTCAACATGGAGAAAGACAACCCTTGAACGCCATGCATGAGGAACTGGTTGAACTACGCATTCGTCTATGACGGCAAGAAGAGATGCACATGCGTGCACAGCACGAACTTGAGATGGCTCGACGGCTACCTCAACAAATCCCTCAACAGGCGTCAAGCATTCCTTTGTCATCGAGAACATCTGAGACGGGCTGGGAGTGCATAGGAAGCACCAAAGTTTGTCTTTTTCAGCAGGAGCGGAAGTGCGATCCCCTGAAGTCGGTCCTCCTAACCATCGTAGCCCCTCGAGTCGTGATAAAATTGTCAGTGAAGAGCAGCCAGCACCCGTGCAATCCATACAAGATGTTAACATGGGCTACACACGTGATCCATCGTTGCCATCGAGTACGGATCCCTTGTCAAGACCTTTGCAAGGCTCGTCAAGTGGAAAGGCTATGCGCGACTCTCAGCTACGTGAACTGCTTACGTCGCTGGGTATGACGGGAAGATCATCGTCTTCATCTTCAGCATCAAAACCTTTCAAGAACATATTCCAGGAAAATGATGATGAGGCCAATGACAGAGTGATTGCAGAGATTTTGATGCAGGGCGCAAAGATGCTGGATGCAGAATCCAAAGCCGAGCAAACTGCAATGCAGGGCGGAAGCAGTACAGGCCATGAAAGAGGAAAGGAAGAATATGGAGAAGATCTAAGCTGAGAACGTGATGCAAGTGGCAGAACTTCGATTATAGCTTAAACAAGCTCAAGAAATTGAGGTATGCCTACACAACGAATGCAATGAATGGCGCCAGGAAGCGGAATATCTCCAAGGCAATGACTACCAGGACAGGACGGTGGCAACGATGGTGATCCTCCTGATGACAAACCCAGTATCCATCCGTCTGATTCTCCGACGAATCGTGGTCCTGGTGGCAATGGTGGAGGAGATGGCAATGAAAGCAGCTCCCCGTTTCGAGGACGTGGTCATCACGGTGGTGATCCGCCAAGACCTCCTCCATCTGAAGGCCCATCTGGAAGTGGTGAACCTGAAGTTACGGATGTCAAAATCTCGAGACGAGAAGCCGACAAGGTTGTCGTACCACCTTGTCCCAAGGTGACACATTTGGACAACTGGATGGCGCAAGGCAATACAAATGTCTTGAGTGCCTGTGCAGATCCGAGTCAAGATGAGTGGATGCAGTGGATGAATCGCGCATTCCGACCTTCTCCTGACATTGAGGGGATGAATGATTCGGGCCACATGAAGTTCAGAAGCATTGGTGTGAAGCTGGGCACCGCTATGACAGCTATGTTCAAATCCGCTGGTGATAATGCTTCCGATCTATACTTGAATGTCAACCGAAAGCCGAACATGTATGTTCGATGCGAAGACGGAAAGATCATCAAAGGAAGGCAAATTGTTTCGCGATGATGTCTGAGAGCTTCCGAACTCGCGACCGTCTCGACATGATCGTTACGTTGGAGTATCTGATCAAGCTTCAGTATCAAGGTGCCAGCAAGATGAACATGTTCAAACAAACTTGGCTGGAAGTCACTAAGCGTATGCAACCCGAGGATGTACCGTCCGACACCGCGCTACGGGACACCTTGCGCAGCAAGATCAAGGATTCTCAGGCGTTGAAGTTCGAATTGAATGTTCATTACGAGATGCTCAGCTACGACGACCCGACACGATCATACAAGACACTTCTTCAGCTCATGGACCGATGCATTATGCGACAACGTGAACAGAAGAACTTGGCTCAAACACAGATTGGTCTTCGCTTGATGGTCGAAGGCAAGGACCAGATGGCCGTACCAGCAAAGACCAAAGGGAGCGGGAAGGACACCGCTACTTCTGCGCCCAAGAAGGGCAACCGGCCGGAAGAAAGGGAATGAGAAGGCTGAAGAGGCAGCTCCTGTAATTCTCCCACAAAGCAAAACCAAAGAACACGCTAAAGCCAAACCTGGAAAAGGGAATGGAAAGAAGCAGAGGGAAAGGTCGGAGTCTGACGACAACCAGCCAGACAGGAGCAAGAAGCATATCCGTTGCAACTTTTTTTCATGAATGTCGCAATGGTGACAAATGTCCCTACAGTCATCCCAAGAAGACTCCAGAACGTGGCCGTGATGGCTCACCATCAAGGCCAGCCAAGAGCTCCGTCTCAAAGTCCGTCAGCCGGAACATCAACTAAGGTGTGCTATCCGACACCGGCACATGTCATCGCATACTACTTTTACTATTACTTCTACTTCTACAACAACAACAACAACTACTACTACTACTGCTGCTGCTACTGCTACAGCTGCTACTACTGCTACTACTACTACTACTACTCCTGCTGCTGCTGCTGCTACTACTACTACTACTGCTACTACTTCTACTTCTTCTTCTTCTACTGCTACTACTACTACTACTACTACTACTACTACTTCGAGTACTACTACTACTACTACTACTACTACTCTACTACTACTACTACTACTACCACCACTACTACCACTACTACCACTACTACCACTACTACCACTACTGCCACTACTACCACTACTACTACTACTA